TAATATTTTGTAACAAAAGAAAATAAAATGTGTTTTTGACAGCATGTATATTTAACACTGCTTTTACAAAGATGTCAAATTTGGATAACTTCTTTTAAGGTGATATGACTATGCTTTGGAATGCTATGTCTAGTGTAGCAAATTGTTTATATCAGGGCTCAAAATTTCAGGTCCTGAGCTACTAGCCAGGCCTTCGAAGTGTGCTTGAAAAAAATGTCTAGTTGAAGGACTTGATAGAGTTTCCACTCTTCAATTCACGGATATGGTTGCCAAGTTGTCTAAGATATACCAGTTTTATGGTCTATTTCCTATTAATAACACTGGCAACAAATTCAGAACAGTAAAATACTGGCCAGGTGGCAACAGTGTCCACAGATAACATCCACACAGAAGCAAGCTATGATGCTTTGCAACCTTCTATCATTGCCACTGCACTGTACATGATGCACTCCCTGCCCTCTAACTTTGCTAGGGGAAGGGGATGGGAGAAGCTGGAAACAAGTTGGAGTTCTGACTAGACCACCAGCAGATATGAGTGTTGCATATGTACTGTATATACAAGTGTGCTGGAGCATAATGAGGATAGAGGTTTGCCTGACAGAATATGTGAACTTATAACTAGCAGTAACCAGCATACAGCATACATTTAAAGTGGCCTGTGCAGCTATGAAACATCGCCGAGGACAAAGGACAAATACAGCAAAATAAAAAAAGTTTTTTTTTAACTGTTCCCTACTCTACCCAAAGCTAAATAAATAATTTTTATCTAGGAATACTCTTTAGCTCAACTATACAGTATATTCATAAGGATATGTCGCACTATTTCGATGAAGAAATGTACAACCCAGGCTTTTCAAGTAGCAAAATGGTGCATATCTAATAAATTGTTAAGTTTCTTAGAGGATGAGCGCACATTTTTTAGTCTTCTCACAAGGAGTTTGGTAATATTAACCTTTATAGTGATATTAAAGTCAAAAAGGTCTTTAAGCTATTTCAAATGCTTATTAAATTACTTACAATGGATGCTGATCCTTGATGTTTAATAGTTTTAGTTTCCTGCAGAATCAGATGGTCCTCTGAGCACTAGCCCTAATATCCTGTATAAGGGTGGCTAGGGAGCCACCCTTGTGTGTGCTAGTAAGGTGGGTGTCTCCACACACACAGGCACAGAAAATCACTCCTAGCATCCTGCTCCCCACTTCTCCCATCTCCTTGTTAGTAGATGGATAGTTACTGGAGACATTTCCCCTCCTTGATCTTGTACTGGACTTAGGAATTTTAGGTTAACCAAGCTAAGAGTGTTGGTACCAGCTTTTTAGAAACATAATGACTGTAAGTGCTTGGGGAAAAATGTAAAGAAATATTTTGCTGGAAAATATATATTTGCTTAATCTTGATTTATTATTGACACAAAAGTTTGAGATTTTAATACTACTTTCAGCTCATGCACAGCCCACAGCCCCCGTGTTTCATCAAAATCTCATCAAGGCTGCGTGCTGGGGTGAAGATGGTAGGTGCACACCCTCTCCCACAGAAAAATAATAGCTGCTGCTGTCTATATCTTAACTTATTTTCTCACTGGCAGATCTCACTCTTCACCACTTTGTCAAGGTTAGTTGGGTATCCATACGATAATAAAAAAAACTAATTTTCCTACTGTATGATAATCACTGAAAATCCATCTCTGAGCAGGATCAGGTATGAAAAAAAGCATCTGGCAGTATGCAGTGACTCGTGGCAAGCACTATATAATACTGTACATAGTTTGAATTTGAGTTTAAAATTTTGCAAGTGGCCTCATAGAAGAAGAAAACATGCCCAGTGACTCCCCGGTCATTTGAGTTTGATAACCTTGTATCTAGGTAAAACCTTTTATTTGTCTTGTTTAGAGTGGTTAGAACCCTGTCACGCTCTATTGCTGCTTATATACCTGTTAGGGAAGCACAGTCTTTTTATTGGTCCTGGAATGTACAGGATAATGCCATATTTACAGTTGTCACTGGAATAGACTAAAATTACTAATCATACAATGCTAATTTCAGCATCCTGCTCCTAAAGGGGAAAGTACGGTAACATCTTTTTAACAACATTAGACAAGCATGAAGAATGACTGCTGCCCTGTTTCAGTTTATCATTTACTGTCTAGTTTGGAAAAGGGATGTTGTTTCAGAAAGGATAGAGAACCTAGATTTGCTTAATAGCCATGAATAATAAATGTACATTTCTACCATGTTAGATGCACAGCTCTGAATATTTCACTAATTAAGTATTTTACATCTCATGATTTTTTAAAGCCTATATTCAGCCAAAACTTTGTTTTTAAGTTTTAAATAGAGAAAATACCACTGCCAATATTTTAGTGCTGTCTATATCACTCCCATTCCAATTCCCCTATCACCAGAGCATTTAGTAAATTTATGACATACGTTATTGAGGAAAAGATGGTGAAAGATAACACGAAGGCAAACTCAATAGTGCAATCCACTGCCCTTAAATGGTGGAGACGGCCAAATGTTGCTCTCAATGCGCGACACCAAGCATTCAGCATCCCTCTACTCTCACTTTTTTTTCTCATGCAGCTCTCACACATTTGACTTAAGATGGCCACACACCCTGCAACCTGATAGTACAACCTACTTTAGATCTACAATTGTTTAGAATAAAAAAAGCAATCTGACTGCATTCAAGTTGAATGAGTTGTTTAAGTTGGGCTTATGCCACATCATTTTGGTAGATCTAAAGTAGAATGAATAGAGATTACACAATCAGATTGTATAGTGTGTGGCCATATTTAGCCACTGATTGTATGACCTACTTCAGATCTATCAACAATTGTGTAAAATTAAAAAAAAACTATCTGATTGCATTCAAGTTGAATGAGTTGTTTAGGTTGAGCTTATACTACATCATTTATATAGATCTATAGTAGAATGAATAGAAATTTTACAGTCAGATTGTATAGTGTGTGTGGCCATCTTTACCACTAATTTAATGTCTTCTAAAACAGTTACTTTTAGGGCATGCCAACTGTCAAGGCTTACCTGTATGCTTATTTCAGCTCTCAACCAACCAAACTTACAAACCCACAAATGGCTGCTTTCATAGCTGATCACATGTGTAGCATCATGACAAATGCAATCCAAATAGAGGCTAAGATGGCACATTATTTGCCTGTAAGGGATAGGAGGGTGTAATTCCGCTTAGAGATCCTCCAACACTGGCATCTCTAAGCGAACACATACCGACGCTCGCTCACGTCTCGATTATCTCCCTGCAGAAAGCCATGACTGTCACTCACGGCTCCCTGCAGCGCTGACTGGCGGAACGGACGGGAAAGGGTGTGGGTACAGCTGGCTCTGCCTCTAGATAGGCAGACCCAGCTGTCAATCACGCAGCTGGGTTGATCTCGACAGTAATGTCGGGATCCGTCCCAGCAGCGGCGGTCTCAGTATACAGCGAGATGTAGCTCGCGATATACTGAGCTTTGGGTCACGGGAGGATGCTGTCTATGTCCTCCCGTGACCCTGTGGAGAACTATGGGAAAAACACTTACCCCATAATTCTCCTTTAACAGGAACACAGAGCTATTTCCCCTGTCAATGTCACTGCAGCTGCAGCAAATGCCAGAGTATGATTGTTACCACAAAAAACATCCCATCCTAACTGCTATCCAGAGTGGACAAAATTAGTCTTGGTTAAACCCTTGTGTGTCTACATCTTTATTGCCAAAGAACTGAACCTGCAAGTCTATGCTCAAATGTATAAAATTAAATATAAAACATGATAAATTAAATGTGCATTTAAGAGTGTTATTGTGAATTAACACACACAGACGTGTCTGATATTGTTTCAGTTAAGTACTATATGAATGTGCACACCTCATGTGATTCCTTGAAACTAACTGGATTTGGTTCAAATATGAGCTAGTTACAGTGACATCTGCATATTGCTTTGTCAAAGAGACCCCATCACTACAAATGGCTTGTTCATACTAGGCGCAAAAGGCTGCACTGATCTGCATTAAACAATGTAGGCTCAACACAAGGGCAAAGAAAACAGTTGTTTACTATATGCGCTGTTCACACCATAAAGATGCGCTGAGGTGCGTTACATAAAAATGCAGCATGCCTGCATTTTGACACAGCACAACACATGGCGCCATATGCCAATGTACTACATTTCTGATTAGAAAGCCAAATTATGAATGCCATGTGGCAATTTTCTTGCTATTTCTAACGTGTGCAACACATTCAGGTAGTTCTTGTGTTTTACATTCTGGTACTATGGCTGCAAAAAAATTAATTTTTTTATTGGTGATAAGGAAAGTAGAAGTAATAGGGCTCTATAATGTTGGCTTATTATTATTATACAGGATTTATATAGCACCAACAGTTTACACAGCAATTTACAAAATATGAACAGTACAGTTACAATACAATTTCAATACAGGAGGGTTAAGAGGGCCCTGCTTGTGAGATCTTACAATCTAGTAAACTATGTTTAAGTATTACCGTATATTGCAGACAAATTACTGTCTGAGGCAATTCGGCAACAGATTTATATACACCTTACCAACAGTTACATTAATCTGTCGCAAGTTGTGCCATTTGATGCACGGATGGGAAACTGATTTCTACTGAGTCTATGACACTCTATGAATTCCAGGGCCGCTGTTCAAAATGTTGCTTCCCCTCTTCAATCAAGGCTCTGCAATGCCTGCAGACTGGAATGTTGTTACTTACAAGATCGACATGAAACATTAACATCCCTTATCCAGCGTTTCTTTTTTACTAGTTAGAAAGTAAAACAAAGCAACCTCCACTTCGTTGTCTATTAACCCGGCCCCAAACCAGCCCATCCAGCTCCCAATAGAATACATGTGCATGTAGTTATACAAGTTGTGTTATGATCCTGTCAGTCCTAGTCCCGCCTACTGAGTTTTCTCTCCTTCCTGGTTCTCAGTCACACACATTCTCTGTGCACAGATTGATTCACAAGTTTCCTATTTACAGACTTCCTTCGACTTTCACATGGAGCAGGAGCAGACAAGCAACAATAAAAACATGACACTGGAAGATCTCCTCTCCTTTTCCAACTTCCAGAAACTTTGTGCAAATGCTTCTGACTATGGCTATGGAGGCACTATCAATGATATGAGAAAAAAAGAGTTCAGCAGGATTGGAGGTAAAGATATTTAATATGTTCTAAAGGTGATCAGAGTGCAGCAGCTGAAAAACTGACTGAACTAGTCAGATTATACCGCTTGCATGTTTTCTGACAGTGAGCCACAGTGCAAATTTATGAGAAAATATTGATCTGTGCAAAGGACCTTTGAACAAGCTACTGTATATATAGTATTTGCAGGCTCCCATTGCTTTAAAATGGAACATGAATGTCATTATATATTCTCTGGCAGGATTTATACTGAAATACACACACATCCATAGACAATTAACAATTCCAGGAAATCTTGGAATTTTAAAATAACTTATTAGTTAAACCCTTTCACTGACCTTTTTCATTATTTGCACACATGTTAAAATGCACAATTTTAGCCATGGCATGATTGAATCCTCTGTCAAAACATTGTGAGGGGAATTTATCAAAACTGGAGCAGCTGTGCGCGGCACCCAATCAGCTCCTCTTTTTCCTTTTTCAAATCTTAACTGAACAAACTAAAGAGAGAAGCTGATTGGTTGCCATGGGCAACTGCTCCAAATTCGATCTGCTGCAATTTTGGTAAATTGCCTCTATATATTTTTAGAAAGCAGAGACCCTGCAGAATAAAATCATAGCAGTTGCAATTTTTTATGCTGCATGATAAATAACCTACTTTTTACATTCAGATTAACTTTAGTGGGCACAAACACCATATAATACCCGATTTTTTTGTAAAATATAAAAGATGAAGTTGTGTTGAGTAAATAGATTGCAAATATGTCATGCCTTAAATCTGCACATCCATAGGTGGTGGTTTAAAAGCTTTTACAATGCATCAGCTTAGCGTTAACAGAGAATGATGGCCATGGAAGTGCTGCTTTCACTCTGGCATGTATACCTAATATGTTTGTCGAAATCATAGTTTACTCATGTGTGCACACGCAACGCACATGTTTGTGTTTACATGTACAGGTATATATTATATTATTTTTAACCTAAATTTTTTGCTATCACAAGACTTCTTATAAACCCACTATGTGACAGCATAGTGCAAGTGACAGGTTCCCTATAAGGCTTTAGGGATTTGCATGTTTAACAGAGTCATTTACCTGTAGCAAAACACACATAAGGCTATATTCACAAAACTAACACACTAGGAAAAGTATCCTTTTTTTATTTTTATGTGACCGTTGTTTTAAGTTGAGTGCAAAGAAAATTAAATATTTCACATGGCTAAAAACAGAGTGCCTTAGGACCTATTCAGACCTTGACATCCTGGTGTGCTTTGTCAATGTCTGTTTTTCGTGCATTACCATGCGTTCTGTCAAGTCTAGCAATGCAACAAAATGTCCCAAAAATGGATAAGCACCATTTTTGGCATGGCAGCATTCCACAATTCATGATATTACATTACTGTGCATTGTGGTGTGTTGCAGCACATGTGCATTGAGGTGCCATCCATTCCCAAAACAATTTCCGTAAATTACAAGGCTTTCTTTTGGCAGTACTGTCCTGCAAACATTATTTTATTCTCTATAACATTCAGTTTTAACATGCCTGTTACTGTAGATACAAATTGCAAATTTGATTCAGTGATTCATCTTATTTAGAATGATGCTAAACTTGAATTTCTGGTACAAATCATGGCAAAGTCATTTACAAATTAAATAAAGGCTCAGTGTACTTTTTATTGAATATGCGGCAAAAAAAGAGGAAACAAACCAAAAATGTTACATATAAATGGGCAAAAATAAATAACAGGTAAAAAGAGAAGGGGGGCAGTAGTTAGTTAAACCCAACCAGTCCTAATTAAGGTTGATTGATTAAAAAAGAACAATTTTATTTTAAAATGTTTATTTTACTGGTGAGGTTGATTTAAATGGCGTTAAGTGTAGATTAAACAACACTCTTTTGACCTGCATCTAAAGGAACCTGTATAAATATGTTGTAACTCTGTCTCCAGGCTTGATTTAAACAGGAGCCGCTGTCCTCACTTATACATCAGATAGATAGATAGATAGATAGATAGATAGATAGATAGATAGATAGATAGGTGACCAGGACATACAAAGTTTGCAAAGGGTACTAGGATGGAGGCCTATGGAGATACTTTGTACACTTAAGGTCGTCAAGTGGTTAAAATACTGCTATCTTCTGAATGGTGTTTATTGTGATGCTCAATGAAAGTTATCTACTGACTAAAGCAGAAAATGAGCAATTACATGTGGAGATATAAATAACAATTCATAATAAATCAAGGTTTGCAATCATTTTATAATTATTTAATGCACATTTTAAAAAAAAATTGCCCACCTATGTGATATTTATGTATATGAACTGAATATTTTGTTGAATAAATGATCATTAAATACAAATATTATTACAGTTAAAACAACTGACACAGCCTAATAAACTGACACCAGAGACTAAACTTCTCTAAATATCCTATTACAAATCTCACCTGTAAATTAAACCATAAGATTATATTCACCTGACGTATAAACGTGTTTATAATAGGAAATAGTCTTTTTTCCCATATGCGCTAATCAAATTCAGACTTTCCTGAATCAGTTTTAATCTAATTGATGATTAAGGGAAAGTAGATGCTGTTCTTAAACTGGCCATATACCTATAGATTATCTGCAGATTTTCTCTGGTCAGATGGAAAAAGTGCAACAGATTCCCCCCATCTACGCTAAACTGTGTCTCCTGCTGGGCCAGGCTTCAGTATCTTGCCAGTGGTCCTGCTGGCTCTCAAACTACCTGACCAATCTGATTGGATGCAGGCACTGTTCAGGTATTTTGAGAGCCAGCGGGGAATAGAATTAGAATGGTATGATCTATGATGATTGTGTGTGGTTTTTTTTTTTTAATGTATGTCACCACAAATTTTTTTCACAAACAAAATATCACAGCTTGCAAGACACATGTCCGTTTACTTCCGATTTCCCCATAAACCAACGTAGGGTTGGGTCATTTCACTTTTTTCCTCTATTGCAAGATGAAGGAAAAACTGGATGGACATGGATGTCACAGCTATGACATCCTATCCCTACAGCCATGTTCAGGAGGGGATCTGTGCACAGATGCCCTTCTGATTGGATAGTGTGAAAGGGGCCTTCCATTTGTTTTTCTAGACCTGGCCAGTGCCAGGGGCAACAGTATGTAAATGGACACTTGTCCATTTAGATCCAGATGACCATAGACTTACACTGGCCATCCGATCAGGTCTGCCTGGAACACTGACAGGTGGACCTGATTGGACTGCCCATCTGAAAATGGCCTTAAGCCATCAAATAAAGTGATGTACTTGAAAATATATATATTTTGTTAAATTTCACCTGTCTGTTTTGGGCTGCAATAATACCTCCATGAAAAGGTATTTCATCTGTGTTTACAAACCGAAATATATATGTTCTCTCAGTATTTTGCTACAGAAGATTATTAAATATTATTTAGTAAATAGTCCTTGTCTTGTGTATAGACATGCAAACTATGTAATTGTATTTACCTTTAGCCCACTTGTCTCCTGTAGCTGTAGGCATAATAATCAGTATTAAGCTGCTCATACACCTTACGAATATCGTCTGATTTTCGTATGCGATCGCGATTTTGTCCGATATTCGTAAGGTTGATGGCCAGTGTACAATTGCAAATACTGTACAATCGATCGACTTTTGACTAACCAGCAGGTTAGAAAACTTCGGGCAAGGTTGGTGGCGTTTCCGTACGTCAAAATTCGTACGATCTACACTGCACATGCGCAGACGAAAATGCGCACGGTTGATTACTGCAATTCATGCAGGTGCTTTCTTTTAATTACCGCTGATCCAACCTTGCAATAATCGAGGCAGGATGGGGCCGCCATATGAAAATTGTATGACCGTTCGAACATCGGACTAAAAGTGTCGTCTGATGATCGCAAGGTGTATGGACAGCCTAAGTGGGGTATTTAAGGTAGAAAGAGGATCATCCCATTAAGCTCTAGCCAGGTGTCAAATAGGCCTGTGTTAATTGATTTAAATATGTAATATAATTAATATAGCTACCTTCTAATCAATTATCTGTACATGTACAGACATTGTAGTCATCGTACAAGCACTCTCATTCTTTATGCTAAGGCCTTGCACCTGATTAAAGGTGCCCATACACCTTACGATTATCGGACAAAACTTTTCGTCCGATGATTGAATAGTTGTACGATTTTCGTATGGCAGCCCCATCCTGCCCCGATGATCGCAAGACTAATTTATCCATAATTAACGAAAAGCACCTGAACGAAATGCGGTAATTGATTTGCCGTATTTTCGTTAACGCAAGCGCAGTGTAGATCATACAACTTTTGACGGACGGAAACGCCAGCAACCTTACGACAATTGTACGATCTAGCAACATTTTCAAACGTGCTTGACCGTCAAAAGTCGTACGATTGTACAGTACTGTCGGTCGGACACTGCAATGCACACATACGATTATTGGACGAAAAGTTGATTGCATACGGACAATAATCGTAAGGTGTATGGGCACCTTAAGAGTACACATGAGATGCTCAATCATTATCTAACCAGCAAAAGCTGGAAGGCAATAAGTAAAATGTTCTGTGTGCACTTGATCTCGGAAATCACCATAAATGCCTAATTTAAATTCTAAATTGTTATACATGTTCTTGTGTGTTTGTACCAACATTTCAAATGAACATTTCCTTCAGTTGTATAAATGAAGTCTTCTAAGCTTGCATTGAAATGTGGACAGCTATAGATAGATAGATAGATAGATAGATAGATAGATAGATAGGTGACCAGGACATACAAAGTTTGCAAAGGGTACTAGGATGGAGGTCTATGGAGATACTTTGTACACTTAAGGTCGTCAAGTGGTTAAAATACTGCTATCTTCTGAATGGTGTTTATTGTGATGCTCAATGAAAGTTATCTACTGACTAAAGCAGAAAATGAGCAATTACATGTGGAGATATAAATAACAATTCATAATAAATCAAGGTTTGCAATCATTTTATAATTATT